CGGCCTGTTTCCTCCGCAGTGCTAGCCCTCTCCCCAGCCCTCCTTGTAGACCTCACCAGATTCATGGGCCATTTCCCTTGTGTCTCCAGGATCTGTTCAGCAAGTCTGACCCTTTTATGGAAATCTATAAGACCAACAGGGACCAGAGTGACCAGCTGGTCTGGAGGACTGAGGTTGGTATCTAGGGATATGGGGATGGAGGAGGGAGAGCAGAGTAGGGAAACAGACAGGAGGTGACCAACTCCGTGGTGCCTCTCCAAGGTGGTGAAAAACAACCTGAACCCCAGCTGGGAGCCATTCCGCCTGTCCCTGCACTCTCTATGCAGCTGTGATGTCCACCGGCCTCTCAAGGTGAAGCCCCAGTCAAGCGAGCACAGCCTACTTAAAACATCCAGTGTTTGTTCTAAGACCTTCCCCCTGAGGGTGGAAGCCCGACCCATAAGGGATTCTCACTGTGGGACAGTTCATAGCTTAATGTTAAGCTTCCCACATGTATGCCTTTTATCAGAGGCCAAAGTCACTACCAGATTGTGCCAAAGAACAAAGCCCAGCAGGTAGCCTCTCTGGGTGGGTGAAGGGCCTCTACGGGGGCCTAAAGACTATGAGGCCTCTGCCACCCTGAATTCCCCACCCAATCTAGGAATGCTTCAGAGCATCCCTCACCCTGAGCTGGCTCTCCCCTCCCTTTCCAGTTTCTGGTGTACGACTATGACTCCAGTGGGAAGCATGACTTCATCGGCGAGTTCACCAGCACCTTCCAGGAGATGCAGGAGGGGACTGCAAACCCTGGGCAGGAGGTGCACAGCAATCCCAGCCCCAGAATCCCATCAGATCCCTGGGAAAATCCAGAGGGTGAAGTTGAAAGGACCACTGTAGCAATAGGAAGTGGAGAGGGTACAATATGCCCAGGCTCAGCCAAAAGATGGGGGGCCTTGCTCTGGAAAGCTGTGTTAAAAGGGGACAAGAAAGGCCACCTGCTGGACTGTGACCCTCCATTTATGGGTGTTGGGATCTAGATGCAGTGGGACTGTATCAACCCCAAGTACCGGGACAAGAAGAAGAATTACAAGAGCTCAGGAACAGTAGTACTGGCCCAGTGCACGGTAAACCCTAGTTCTTGCCTCAAATCCCGCCCCCTCTGCTGCCCCTACCACACTCTCTGATTCAACCCTTTGCTTGTTTCAAAGGCCAGTTTCTCTGCTCCTGGCAATGGTTGTCCCACCCAATTGCAACCTCAAAAACTCCAGCTCCCCTGCTTTACCCACAGAAGCCTCTATCCAAGCTGCCTCCCAAAAGGACCATCCCATCCTCCATTACCTCTTTCCTCTCAGGTGGAGAAGGTGCATACCTTCCTGGATTACATCATGGGCGGCTGCCAGATCAGCTTCACGGTAAAGGCCCAGGGGATGGGGGCAAAAGAGGAGCTAAATCCATATTGAACTGAAGAAGCCCAGAGTCTTACTTCCCCTGCTTGGGATATTGTCAGCCAGAACCCAACCCCACCCCATGAGGAGGCTAACAGTGAGCTCCCCCAGATGCACCTTAGTCCTCCCTACGAGAATCCAGCTCTGGGACAGCCTCTCTGTCCACCTTCATGGCAGCAGTGTGACCATTTCCTCACCCTCACCCTCATCCCCGCCAGGTGGCCATCGACTTCACCGCCTCCAACGGGGACCCAAGGAGCAGCCAGTCCTTACACTGCCTCAGCCCCCGACAGCCGAACCACTACCTGCAGGCCCTGCGAGCAGTGGGAGGCATCTGCCAGGATTATGACAGGTAGGAGAGGGTGGCGAGGGTTAGGAAGGGGTCCTCGCCCTGGAGCCCCACAGCCTGTTCTTCTTTCCAGTGATAAGCGGTTCCCAGCCTTTGGCTTCGGGGCTCGAATCCCTCCCAACTTCGAGGTACGCTGGGTGCAAGAGGAAGGAGGAGTTGGTGGAGTCGGGTGGGAAGGAGAGCCATGCCTTCACTGTGTTCAACTTCCTGCACAGGTGTCGCACGACTTTGCTATCAACTTTGACCCGGAAAACCCTGAATGCGAAGGTGAGCTGGAGAGCCCCACCAGCCTGCCTCCACGGCTTGTTGCCCAGACCTGGCCATCCCACCCAAGAGCCCAGACTCCATTCCCATGTGTCCAGCTCCCTGTCCCTCCCACTTATGCATCTGGTCAGACTTCCAGCCCCATGATCTGCTCGCCCAATTCTCACAGCCCCAGACCATCCAACCCTCCTGCTTGCCAAAGAATGGGGGTGTGGGGGGCTGTCCAATCCCTGACAGCTATATCTCCTTTCTTTGCCCACAGAGATCTCCGGGGTCATCACTTCCTACCGTCGTTGCTTGCCCCAGATCCAGCTCTATGGCCCCACCAATGTGGCCCCCATTATCAACCGTGTGGCTGGGCCAGCACAGCGGGAGCAGAGCACCGGCCAAGCCACGGTGAGGATGCAAAACATACAACCAGGCACTGCGCTGTGTGTCCTGGGGCGTGGACCTGGGCTCGGGACGCATTTCACACCCTGGCCCACAGAGGTAACCTTTCTCTTTCTGCCTGCCCTCAGAAGTACTCGGTGCTGCTGGTGCTCACCGATGGCGTGGTGAGCGACATGGCCGAGACCCGCACCGCGATTGTGCGTGCCTCCCGGCTGCCCATGTCCATCATCATCGTGGGTGTGGGCAATGCTGACTTCTCTGACATGCGGCTGCTAGATGGCGATGATGGCCCCTTGCGCTGCCCCCAAGGGGTGCCCGCGGCCCGCGACATAGTGCAGTTTGTGCCCTTCCGGGACTTCAAGGATGTGAGTGTTCAGTGCCCTTCCCGGAAGAAGGACTTCTCAGTGCCTCGTGCTCCCAATCTGACTTGTATCTCTCACTGGCTTGGCGTCCTACAAACTACACTGGAGCCCAGCTGGCCACTCCGAAGCCCCGCCTCCCCCTCTTCTCCTGCCCTTCGGCCCCTAATCTCATCTCTCCCTCACCTGCAGGCTGCCCCCTCTGCGCTAGCTAAGTGTGTCCTGGCTGAGGTTCCCCGGCAGGTAGTGGAGTACTACGCCAGCCAGGGCATCAGCCCTGGGGCTCCCAGGCCCTGCACACCAGCCACAACTCCCAGTCCTAGCCCGTGACTGCGTTGCACTGGACCGAGGACACTCCCTCAGCCTCTCAGTGAGTCTTGGGGGTTTCAAAGAGGTGGATGCAAAGTGGGTACAAAGTGGGACTTCTGAGGAACCTAGCTGTGTAATGCAGACAAGGGTGTTCATGACTATCATACTTCTTCCAGGTGCCTGTCCTGACCTTTGTGACTCAAGTGACCAGTGCCTCTGCCTCTTGCAGCTGTGCCCCCTGGGTCCTGGAAGTGAGATGTGGGCCCTGCCTCCATCTCTCCAAGCCCCATATCCCTCAACTTTGTGGCCCCTCAGTGACTTCCTTCAGTGATCTGACTTTCTGGTCATTAATAAAGGGAACCACTCCTAGCACTTCAGCCTCTACCCATCATGCTCCAGGTGTCCATGCAGCACTTTGTAGCACCCATTGACACCATAGGAAACGAGTGCCTGTACCTTTCAAAATCTGAGCCAGACCTCCAGGGAGGCTTCTGCCTTTGTAATTTTATTCCAACCAGTGGGGTCCAAAGAGCTCCCACTCTTACCTCCCAAGCCTAAGGGGGTCCAGGCACCATGGGGGTTAATAATAGGAGATAGGGGAGTAATAAGGGGTTGTCAAGAGGGCAGGCTGATGCCCTCTTACAGCTGTCTCCAGAGAAGCCCCACTGAGTTCCCCAGGGGTTGAACCCCTGCCCCCACACAGCTGTGGGGCGGGCCAAGAAGGGGTGTTGGGGTGGGGGCTGAGGGAGGGGAGCAGCAGTTCTGCTAATGAATTAGGAACATAAGGGACATTCAGGTCTGCTCAGCCTGATTTTCCTGGATGTGTCAATGTGTTAGTGTTCATGCACCCCACATCCCTGACCCTCTGTGAGTACAGCCTCAGTGGTTCAAGAAATCTAGCTGTGCACTCTGAGCTGTGCATTCTGGCAACCCACAAATATTATTCTTTAGCATGTGTCAAACTTTGCTTCTTTAAATGCATGCATCCTCACCAGATAATTAGCATTTATTTTCCCTATTTTTCTAACAAAGCAAATCCTGCTTTTTAATTCAGCCGTGGTCAGAGAACTCATAGAATTTGAGCCCAAGCCCATGCGACCAAAGCACCCACACTCTTCATCCCTACAGTGTGCAACCTTTGTTTGAAGTCTATCCTGTGACTCAAGTATATTGAGAGCCAGCTGTATGTATATGTGCCCTGGTTCTGTGCACAGGTGTCTGTGGATAGACGTCTGTGTGCCACGCAGATAAGAAAGGTTTACAAGAGAAGCACTGCGTCTGGACTGCAGCTCCAGAGAGTGGGCAAAGGAAATACAGAGGAAGGGAAACACAGAGCAAAGGAAGAAGAGCTGCACTCCTGGAGGGACCCTCTCTGCCCCAACCCCTCCCTTCGAGAGGACTCCTGTTGCAGGCTCTTGAGTGGAGGAGGGATGAGCTGGACTAGAGGAGGGGGAGGAGGGAACAAGAACTGTGATGGGAAGAGACAGCTGGGAAGGGGGCGGATAGAAGGGGCAGAAAGGAAGAGAGACATATGTGAGCCACTTCCCCCACGCCCCACCGCTTCTCCCATTTATTATGTCCCTTAGAGGATGGACAACAGTGGCTGGTGAGGTACGCTTCTGCTCTGCCCAGAGGCCCTCCCTGCCCTTCCCTTCTGCGGCAGAACTGGCGGCTTGAGTTACCATGGCAACTATGAGACCTTGAGGATAGCCACAGGCAGGCCTTGCTGCTGCTCTTAGGTTTTGCGGTAGTGGTGGGGGAAGGGAGAGGCTCCGTCTGGACCAATCCCCACTCATCTCCACCCCATTTTCATTGGCTGTCCAGAACTGAGACTGTATCGCTCCGTTCCAAGTGGATACCCCTCCCCTACACACAGACATACAAAACAGCAGTCTGAAGCAGGGATAGAAAATGAACTCTTTTTAAATTGCAAGAACATTTAGCCAATAGTATTACACTTCTGCCTGGACTTCAGATTTAATTCGCAAAAGCTGCACTCTCAGCTTCTGCCATCCGCGGAGGTCTCACCTCAGCCTTCAGAGAGGTAGGAGGTAGCAGGGGTACCTCTGCAAGGCTGGAGCCTGAGGCAGCCTGGACAGAGCAGCAGGGACCCCTTGTGTGTGGAGGGGAATCATGCATCCCCATCCAGGCTTCTAGTCCACTGCTGGGGTTGTGGCCAGAAACTGGAGCAGGACAGGACGTCCCTTTGATGAGGTTTGTCTCGGGAGCTTCCTGGGGAGATCGTTGGAACTCACTCATGGGGAGATGCCAGAACTGAAAAGGTGTCAGAAGTCATCCAATCCAAATGAGGATTAGATGAAGTAACTGAGGCCAGAGAGCAATTGATTTGCTCAAGGTGACAGTGGGATCCTGTGGCAGATCCACGACTAGCGCCAAGGCCCCTCTCCTAGCTGACGCTAACCCACACCTGGGGCTCACTCCTCAAGCCTAGCTGCTGAGGGCCCTGAAGACCAGTGGACTTGGTAGGAAAATGAATCTTGGGTAGCATTCCTAGTTTGTCTTGCTAAGGAGGTTACAAACCTTGGAGTGAAAAATACAGCCTCATTGCTAATTACAGCCTTAATGCACTACAAATTGAAAACCTTTAATTAAGAACTAAACTGAGGGAAGAGCTGCGCCACTCCCTTCCCTCCCATTCACTGTGCCCAAGGCTGCCCTCCACAATGCCACCCTCCGCGCCTGCAGAGCCCTGGCCCTTGGAGAGTTCCCTGACTGTGCAAGGCCTGGAAGAGGAGAAGGGACCCCTCTTCCAGAAAATGGCCAGCATCTTGAGGGTCCAGGAAGTTTGGGGATATTTGTGTGGTCATACTGGGGAGTGGATGGGACCAGAAGTGAGTAGTGCAGCCGATTCCGGAGTATTGCTCTCTACTCAACCACCTGCACACCCCACGTCCCCTCCCCCGGAGGCTTAGAGGAAGAGGTGGGTGTGGTCCCCCGACCCGGGGCCGCTCGAGGTCAGCCGATCACAGCGAGCCTTGTAGAGGTCGCGCTCACGAGCCAGGCGAGCTACCTCGGCCCGCAGCGCGTCCAACTGGGCGGCCAGGCGGGCGCGCTCGGCCTCCAGCCCGCGCCGCTGCTGCAGCCGCTTGGAGCGGCAGGCCTGCGCGTAACCGCGGTTCTTCAGCGTGCGGCGCCTCTGCTTCAGCCGCAGCGCCTCGTCTCGCCCGCAGCCCCGCAGCTGCCGGTTGAGCTCCCGCACGGACATCGACACCAGCGCCGCGTCTGAAAACCGCTCGGCCAGCTGCGGAGGAGCAGTACAGGTCAGCAGTGAACACCGAGGTCCTGATGCCGGGCCAGGCCTGCCCTCGGGAAGGCCCCGCCCGTGGCCCCACCTTTACCTGAACGCCCATTGTTCTAACCCCACCTGTCTCCTCCCGACCCCACCCCAGGCCTGGCCGCTGGACTCGCGCCCTTTAGGCACGCCCATCAGCGCAAGCCCGCCTCCCGCTGGCTGCCGAGCCAATCGCAAGCCTGGACGCAGTGCCCACCCCGCCGCCCCGGCATCCGGCTCCAAGTCCGGGAACCCGCGCCCAGACAGACCCCGCCCCCAGCGCCACGCCGGTGGCGTCCCAGTGGCCGGAAACCTGTGACCCTCCAAGGATTTGGATTATGTCCTAATGCCCTCAACGCCCCAGTCTGTGTCTATAATTAATAGGATGAGTCCCAATCCTTCCTGAGAAGGTTGGGCGCTTGGAAAAGGCCAACCTCAACCACAGCCTCCACCCTGCTCCATTCCAAGCACCATGTACATATTTTCGTCCTCGTAATCGCTCTATAACTCTCAACCCTTTCCTTTTGGGTCCTCTTCTAATCTCATTTTCTTTCTCTTCTTTATGATTCAGCCTACTCATCTCCGTTTTGGAGCGAAAAAAGGTCGTTACATCTTTGATGTCTTTCAAAGGCCCTTCTCTACTCCTGCCCTCTTTCCCCAGCCCACAGTCCTCTCCAGGAACTCTCCTTTCCCTCCTTTCTCTCCCTTTCCAACCTGTCTCCCCCAGACCAGCTGCTGGCCACTCACCTGGGCGTGCTGGGCTCCTGTCTCCTCTGGGTTCCCTGGATAGTAGCCGCCGCCCTCAACAGGGACCGAGCCCTGACCTTGCAGCAGCTCCACGGCCTCATCGGGACTCAGTCCCAGCGACTCCCCAGCCCCCAGCTGCTGCTGCAGGGTGGCCAGCCAGTACAGCTCCTCCAGGCCTGGCCGCGCGCCCTCCGCGGCCCCCACCATGCCCGGCTCACTGAAGGTGGGTGAAGGAGGCACTGAGCTGTAAGGTGTGGAGCCCAGTGAGGCTGTGGGGGGTCCAGATCGCCCCTCAGAGGGCTCCCGCTTTACCTCAAACTTCATCAGGTCAAAGTCATTAACATATTCCATGGCCAGAGGGCTGGGGGGCAGTGCCATTCTGCGGCTGGGCTGGGAGCGCTGTACCTGCAAGAAAGAGAGATCTGGAGCAACAGAGGTGGCCTGTGGTCCCTTCACCAAACACCCAGCCCGAAGCCCAGGTGTCCTGGTGTGGTGGTGCAGCCCTGTTCCCCACAGAGTCCCCTCCAGGCAGGGCAGCCTTGCAGGTGACAAAGACTCCTGAGGACAGGAGACAGGAAGCTGAAGGTTTAAAGGAGGAAGAGGGTAGCACAACCTCTTCCCCTGCCAGTGCCTCTGGGATCTACAAAAAACAAGAGCAATGTGGCAGTGCTCCCAACCCCCGGTGCTCAGACATGCTGAGCAGCTCTGTCATCTCAAGGGACACCGTTCCACTTCCAAGCAATTAAAAAATTATGCTTAATTAACTGTGACTAAATGTGTGTATATTTTAGGATGGTGGGAAGGCATGTATGCTGTGGATTTAAGGTATAATGGCACTGTACTGTGCTATCTGTCTCAAAGCACTCAGGACAGTGCCTTGAACACAAAAGACCTTCAGCGCACATTTGTTGAATGCATCAATCAATCAACAAGTCCCTTTTATAGGAGCAAGAGACTTTCTAGGGAAGAAGAAAGGTCCTGGAGCCAGTTCTAGAAAGATCAGGACTAGTGGCTACCATCTGTCCTCAAGACTAGTTTCTACAAGGAGAACTCACCAACATTAATTTCCCCTTTCGGTTTAGAACATGCTGTATTGTGTAAACCTGAGAAGACCACTGTCATCTTCCTGACCGCCTCTCCTGTTCAGTGAGGCAGTGACACTGTGTAACATCTCCCCAAGAGTGCTCTGCAGAACACTGCTTCCAGAAAGTTACCAAGAGGTCTATGCTCAGATGATTTTATGAAAGGCTCCCTGTTCTTTTTACCTTGTGCATAGTCTCAAGGCCCAAGAACATACTAACCTAAGAAGTTTTTCAGCCAACCTTCTGTTCAACTTCCACATGGAGTGTCCCAAAGTTATGACACCAAGGAACACACCCCTCTGTGTTACCCACTGTGGAATACATGCTTTCTTGAGGAACCTCTGGCTAGATGATGTCAGAGATTTTTTTTACAGCCTGAAAGTCCCAGAGGGACTTCAAATTTCAACACCTCCACCCACTAGAAGGGTCCAAGCAAGGTGCGCTTATCCCTAGGGCTTAGCCTTTGGCTCCCTCTTGATGCCCCTAGCCTAGGTAGTCCTCTTGTCAGCTACATCTCAGACCCACCCCCCAGGCTCTCCCAGAAAAGTAGGACGAAGGACAACTCCTCCCTCTTTGGGTCTCAGCTCCATCCTCATGGAGCTCCCCTGCCTTGAGAGGACAGAGAGGTTGGAAACAAAAACAATCAAAGGAACTGTTCCTCAGAGGAAGGAGGTGGTGAGACAATGACAGAGATATCCAGAGAGAACGGGATGTGCAAAGAAGCAGTAAGTGGGGAAGGCTGTTTATCTTTCTGATGTAATAACAGCTAGAGTGAGAACAGGGCGAAGTACAGAAGTGTGAGGATGCTGGAAAATAGACAGCAGAGGGCAGACAGCAGGTGTTGGAAGAGGGAGCTATAGGTAAGAAGCCTGGCACGCAGACATACTCACTCTAGGGACAGCAGAGACGATGTGGTCAGTGGCAGAGCCAGACAGGCACAGCTTCCCCAGAGTCCGGAGGCCCCATGGAGCAGGCAGGGCCTGGTACCTCTATGCTCATAACCAGGGGGCTGTGGGCACAGAGCCCAAAGGGCACTCTTAAAGCACCAGCTCTCTGAGCTCATCTGTGCTCCTCAGGCCTCAGCCAATGAGGCCAGGGATCATTTGCATCTCTCACTGGTCAGGGGGGCTGGGAGGGTGGAAAAGAAGGAGAGGACAAGTATGTCTGTCCTCAAAGAAGAAAAGGGGAATCTGCCCCAACAAAGCTCCTCACTGATGGTCCAGCTCGTACGAGTCTGGTTCTCTAATACACAGCCACATTGATTCCAACCACCACTCATCCCTGTGGACACAGCCCTCGGCTCTCGAATGCTCAGCACCTTGGGACAGGGAATGAGAGCCAGACATGCTCTCAGCCCCCTGACCCATGAGGCTCTGCACCTCCCTCCAGTGTCTGTGAGAAAGACAAGCTCTTCCTAACCCACTCTCACTAGGCCTGTTGGGTCGTTTTCCTCTCCAAGTAACTTTCCTCCTCATGTTTTGCACCCTAGCCTGTCTTCACCCTGATTGGCCTTATGCCCCTCACAACCATCACATCAGAAAGATAAGCAACTTCCACACCGGGATTCTCTAGGACTTGGCCATCCAATTCTTGGTCTCTCCCACTCCTAAAACCCCAGCCCCAGAAAGGCAGCCCAGCTTGGGAGAAGAACTGGGAGAAGAAAGAACAGGCATCTTCCTTCTGGGCCACCAAAGGACACTGAAGTCTAATCAGCACGAGTCCAGCAGATACACTTTTGTGATTGCCCTCACCAGCCCTCTGCTTTCTCTCACCTTTTCCCTGTGTGTGTCTCTGCCCCTCTCTCCTCCTCTCTCACCCACTGGAGTTCCCAGATGGCTGAGGAGTGACCTATATTTCCAGTCTAATCCCCTAACACCTCTTAGAGCTATCATCCCCCAGCAGGAGTTGGAACAGGGAACTAGGAATTAGCCGAGGAGACGTTTAAACCTGTCCGAAGCTGTTTAAATAAGGTCTGTACTAGAATAGAACTCCAGGGGTTAAGGGCTCCTCCCTACCTTCTGAGGACATGCAGATACTCTCATTGAGTTAACGGTCCCCTTTCCCAACTTAGACAGAGACAGGGTTTCTTTCAGCCCCACGGATCCTCAGTTATAAAAATTAACCTGTTGCAAGCCTTAGATGTTAGGAAAATCTGGTAGATGCAGATTATTTAAGACAGTGGTTCTCACAATGTTGTACTCAGACCAACCACATCAGCATTTCCTACTAACTTAGAGATAGAAATTCTCTGGCTTTATCTCAAACCTACTGAATCTTGACCAGGCGTGGTAGCACATACCTGTAATCCCAGCACTTGGGAGGCTGAGGCAGGAGGATCATTGAGAGTTCGAGGCCAGCCTGGGCTACAAAGTGAGTTCAAGACCAGCCTGGACTGCATAGCAAGACTCTGTTTCAAAAAGACGAAAAACAAAAAAACTGGGGCTGGGGATTTAGCTCAGCGGCAAAAGCGCCTGCCTGGCAAGCGCAAGGTCGTGAGTTCGGTTCCTGGTACCGGAGAAAAACCAAAAAAAAAAAAAAAAAAAGAAAAACAAAAAAACCTACCGAATCAGAAATTCTGGAGGTGGGATCCAGAAATCTGCATTTTACCAGGCCCTTTCAGCAATTCTGACAAACACTAAAGTTTGAGAACTACTGGTCCACAGATGCCTACATTCCACCCAACTTCCTTTAGTGTATGAATACGTGTGTGTGAGACTGTGTGTTGTGTGTGTGTGATTGTGGGTAGTCTCTCCTACCGTGCTGTATCAACCACCTTTCCATTACTATAACAAACACGGGAGATAGTAAACTCAGAAAAGGGTTAGTTTGGCCCCCAGTTCTCAAGGTTCCAGCTCCTGCTCCACTGGCCCTGTCATGTGGGGCCTGTGCCAAGGCCGCACAGCATGGCCAGTGGCAGGTAGTGGAGTAAAGCTGTTCACCTCCCGGCTGAGACAAAAAAGAAGAGGCAGGGGCTGGTGTCCCACCGGCCCCTTCGTGGGCATGTCCCCAGTGACCCCAAGACCTCCCAACTCCTAAAATTTCCACTACTTCCTAGCAGTGCAGAGCTGGGGCCTAAGTCTTTAACACACAAAACTCTGAGGGATGTTAAAGATCCGAGCACACGCCTTCTGTATGTGCATTAGAAGATCTAGATCAGATGGCAGCCCTCTGTTTCCTCACTTGCACTTCCAGTTTACAGAGCAGAGTCCACCTTCATCTTTCAAGTAGAAAGGCATCTCTGTGTGACTGCCTTGATGTAGGGCTGCTTTCTCAGAAAAGGCAAAGATTCAAGGCCTGGGAACCAGCCACAAAATGGGAATGAGGATCACGGAGACAGGGAACCCCATACCCATGTCTGTGGACAGTAGCTCTAAGGTGGATGCCCAGGACACAAACCCTAAAATTCCCCTGAAGGAAGGAATAGGAGATGTAGAAGCAGCCCCCTCTGCATGCCTGCTGTGGCCTGGCCAGACACCTGCCCCCTCCCAGCAGCTGGTAGATCTACCCTGAGCCTCTTGTTTACTGGAGGGCTCAAGGAGAGGTGGGAGGGCTAAGCTGCTAAGGGGCTAAGACAGTCAGGCTAAACAAGCTCAGGAGAGCTGAGCCATTTAGAGTTCAGACCAGGCACTGCTAACCAGGGAAAGGAGCTGGGGAATGAGGGCTGGACTCAGACTAGAGAGAAGAGGACAAAAGGCACAACAGGAGAAGTTGCGCCATCCCTCAGGTGGAGGTTGGGCGAGGTTGCCTGGAGGCTAAAACATAGTTACTGAGCCGGAAAGGCTGGAGGAACTCTGAGAATAGAGAAACAGGGATGAAAAAGATGAAGGCAGAGTGAGCACCAAGGATGACAGGACAGAGATGGGAGACCAGCCAAGGAGGGGGTATGTGTAGCTCTGAGATAGAGGGCGGAACAACCACAGTGCCTTAGTCTTCAGGCACTGCACAGGGATTCACACTGAAAGAGGCAGAGGATGGGGTAGACAGAAGAGATGAGAAAAGGCCATGGAGAAGTAAAAGAAAGAGAGCACTGGGCATGGTGCCTGTAATCCCAGCACTTGGGAGGCTGAGGCAGGAGGATCACTGTGAGTTCGAGACCAGCCTGGGCTACAAAGTGAGCTCAAGGCCAGCTGGAACTGCATAGCGAGACCCTGTCTCAAAAAAAAAAAAAAAAAAAAAAAGAAAGAAAGAAAGAAAGAGAGAAAGGCTTCTGGGAGAGGTCCAAGAAGGGCGTGAGGGCCAAAAGAAAAGGTGGACAGGAACAAGGGCCTAGAGAAACAAAAGTAATAGAAGAAAGAGGAACAGACAGATTGTCAGGCTGGCCTCAAAATCCTGGGCTCAAGCAATCATACTGCCTTGGCTTCTCAAAGAGCTGGAACTATAGGCACAAACAAATCCTTTTAACTGAGATGAGTGCTATGAAAGAGAAGGCCAGGATATCTGAGATTTTATTTCATGAAGACTTAATCTTCAAATACAAGGAGTTGGGGCACAGAGTGTAGCGTTGCAGGGACAGGGTTCCAAAGGAAGTCACAACAAATTGAGACAGGTCAGGCGAATAAAAAGTGACCGTGCACAGCTAGAGATTCCAGGATGCAGGAACACGATACCATATTTCCCTGAAAATAAGACCTAACTGAAAAATAAGCCCTAGCATGATTTTTCAGGAAGCTTGTAATA